TAGTCCAAATCTCTTGTTTGGCTACATAAAAATTTATGAATTCAAATTTAAATTCATTATATACTCTAGTCATTTAAAATTTTAGTCATTTTAAATATTTTATTCTCTTAATTTTTTAATTATTAATATCTCTGACTCTTGTATCTTTTCTCGTATTTCATTTTGATCGTCTCTTGTTAATTGAAAAATATAGAGAAATTTGTTCTTTTTAATTTTTTATTTTCATTTCGAATCTCAACTCATTTATCTTTTTTCATTGAAATATTTTAAATTACCCAAACAAAATATTTTAATAAATGGACTTTAAATATGAGATTTTGCATTTCAAATCTAAAATTCAAATCCATGAATCCAAATGTCACCTAAAACTATTTTCAAATTAATATAACCAAACATATTTTTATTTTATTTTATTTTATTTTAAAAATTAATCTTTAAAATTAGTTTACAGAATAATTTTTAAAAACAAAAAATAGAACAAAACTAAACAAGAACTTAATCTCTAGCACCCCTATCAAGCAGAGCCATGCTCACGAGCTTGGAGCCAAAAAGTGACGCCCATATATAATTTCAAACGTGTTAGTTTAAATTGATATTAAATTGATATTTTTATTCAACTGAATAAAATAAAACAAATTAAAATTCAAAGATAATTCTAAAAAATGAATAACCAATTATTATTAATCTAAGAGTGTTAATTGTCACAAGTTTTATAATGATACCTGTAACAATTGGTGGTGATTATTTTCCTTATAATATATAAAGTAAGTGGATTGATATGTGCAAGTTTAGATATCAAATATACCCCGATAATGTATTGATAATTTGGATATACAATATGAAATTCTGATATAATATAAGCCTCTATAGTACTTATTTACATCGGTTCACAAGTTAATGGACTAGAAAATATTAGTGTACAACCTATCCAAATGTAAATAATATGATAAAGGAGTACGCTAAAATAATAAATGTATAATTGAAATACATGGAATCTTAGTTAAAAAAATATAATGAGAAAATTACATCAGGAAATTATATAAACATATTTACTTGCAATATGATACACAACAATATTACTGTCTAATAAAATGAAATCTCAATTTTAAATGAGATGACGTACCTGATGAGGATATTTTAATTTAAAAAATTATTGTGAATTATAATTTATTTTTCCCTTTAACTTACTTCTTTCACACTCATGTCAAATGTTAAGAGGAGTCTTGACGACGAGATATTTTACTCAGTTCTAATATTTAAAGAAAGAATGTGTGTGTGTGTGTGTAATTTTATAGTGTTAAGATACCTTGTTCTATCAAATCATGACTTATATTAGATCTCATCTTTTTAATTCCATGATTTACCTTTGTTAATAATATTGAAACTCTTTGTAAATTACACGTGATTTATCAAAACTCAAAACGCTTGAGGCGAATCATCAATTACAAGTAATTTATCAAATTCTTAAACTGCTAGCATGACTTTCCAGGACAAATAAACATATTGAAAAGTATTTTGATCCTTTTTTTTTTTGTTTTATTGTTGAACTTTTCAACCTGATCTTTATTATTACCCTTAATATTATTATTTATATTTTTTTTATTTTTTCTCTATTTGAAAAGAAGGAATTTCTTTTGCTATGATGATGAACCGTATTAAAAATATCGTATTTAAACAAATTTGAATATGAGTGTATCTATAGCTTTTTTTATCAACAACAACAACAAGCATTTATCCCACTAGGTGGGGTTGGCTACATGGATTGCAAGACGCCATTGTGCTCTATCATTTATCAAGCTTTTAAAAATATTATTAATTAAGAGATCGCGTTCAACAACTTTCAAGAGTGTTCTCTTAGGCCTTCCTCTACCCCTCTTAATCGGACTCAAAGTTATATGTTCCACTCTTCTCACTGGTGCCTCCCTTGGTCTTCTTTGTACATGCCCAAACCATCTCAACCGATTTTCTACCATTTTTTCCTCAATAGGTGCTACCCTCACTTTTTCGCATACGTGCTCATTTCGAATTTTATTTTTACGTGTATGTCCGCACATCCATCGTAACATTCTCATCTCTGCTACTCCAACTTTGTACTCTTGCTGTCCCGTTAGAGCCCAGCATTCACTATTATATAACATTGCCGGTCTGATAGCAGTGCGATAAAACTTTCCTTTAAGTTTATTAGGCACCTTACGGTCGCAAATAACTCCTTTAGCTTTTCTCCAATTAAACCACCCAGCTTGAATTCTATGTGAAATATCTCCACTGATTTAGCCATCATTTTGAATAATGGCTCCCAAATATTTAAACTTTTCCACTTGAGGTATAATTTGATCTCCCAATTTTACTTCCAAATTATTGTCGAATAGTCTCTTACCAAATTTACAATATAAATATTCCGTCTTACTCCTACTCAAACGAAAACCTTTCGACTCCAATGTCCTCCTTCATAACTCAAGTTTGCAATTAATCTCTTCTCTTGTCTCTGCTATAAGAACAATATCATCTGCGAAGAGCATACATTTGGGAATTTTCCCTTGAATATGTTCCGTCAAAACATTTAAGATCAAGTTGAACAGATAAGGACTCAGAGATGATCCCTGATATAGTCCAATCTTTATAGAAAAATGCTTTGTTTGACCACTAGGCGTTCTTATACTAGTTTTTACCCCCTCATACATATCTTGTATGGCTTTAATATAAGCAATCCGTACTCCCTTTTTTTCCAACGCTTTCCAAAGCACTTCTTTTGGTATACGGTCATAAGCTTTTTCCAAATCAATAAAAACCATGTGTAAATCTTTATTTTTACAACGATACTTTTCCATTAGTCCCCTTAGTAGATAAATCGCTTCTGTAGTTGATCTACCTGGCATAAAACCAAACTAATTCTCAAAAATACTTGTCTCCAATCTCAACCTGTGTTCAATTACTTTCTCCCACAATTTCATTGTGTGGCTCATGAGTTTAATCCCTCTATAGTTAGTACAATTTTGAATATCTCCTTTATTTTTATAAATAAGAATTAATGTACTTCTCCTCCACTCATCAGGCATTTTCTTGGACCGTAAGATCACATTAAATAACTTAGTTAACCATCTCACCCCTTCTTCACCTAAACATTTTCACACTTCGATAGATATACAATCAGGTCTATTGGCTTTACCATTTGCCATTTTCTTAAGAGCTTCCTTTACCTCCTTATCACGTATTATTCGATAAAATGACAAATTTTGTTCTCCTTCACCAGTTACTAAATCCTCCAAGTTACTAGATGAACCCTCTCCATCATTGAAAAGTTTGGAAAAGTAAGTCTCCCATCTGTTTTTAATTTCATCATCTGTAACTAAAATTCTTCCCTCTTCATCCTTAATACACCTTACCTGTTCTAGATCCCCTAATTTTCTTTCCCTACTCTTGGCAATCTTATAAATGTTTCGTTCTCCTTCTTTCGTCTCAAGACTCTTATAAAATTCTTCAAAAGCTTTAGAACGAGCTTCACTTACAGCTCTCTTAGTTTCCTTCTTAGCCATATGATACTTCTCCCAATTTTCCTCATTGTTACACAAATGTATGGCTTTAAAACAGTTCTTTTTATACTTGATTTTGTCCTGTACACTATTATTCCACCACCAAGACTCCTTATCTTTGGGACCAGAACCTTTTGATTCTCCCAAAACTACTTTTGCAACCTCCCGTATCTTTTTAGCTATATCCTCCCACATGATGTTAGCACTTCCCTGAGATTTTCAAATTCCTTTGTCCAAAGATTTCGCTTAAAAATATCTTGCTTCTCATCTTTTAATTGCCACCACCTAATCCTTGGTGCTACTACTTGTCGACGCTTTTGAATTTTACTCATAATACACACATCAAGGACTAGGACTCTATGTTGTGTCGTTACAGCATCTTCGAGGATCACCTTGCAATTTTTATAAAGTCTTCTATCTGTATTCCTAACCAAAAGAAGCTTTTTTTATCAAATTATAAATATTTTCTATCTTATCTCACAGTCTATTAAAATTGTGTTTCTTAAGCTTTTATGAAGTTCCTTTACCGTATTCATTAACCAAATTCTGTTATCTCCAAACAAAATTGAAATATTCACTTGAGATGAATAATTTGACAATCTCTTCTTCCGCACAACACGCTCGGGTTAATTAACTTTAATTTAATTAAAAACAAGTATATTAAATATTACATGAGTGTATATGTAAAAACAGTAATTCTTGTATAATATGCATGGTTATAAGCGATGGCCCAAAATTTTATTCAAAAAAAAAAATTGGCCATATATGAACTGAGCTATAAAGTATAAACCATTAAATCATATAAAACTGAATACATATGATTTTCACAAAAGTATAGCTGAACAACATTCTCACAAATCTCACAAACCAAAAGCTTCTTATACAAATAATGGATCTCCATATTTGGCAGCCATAAAATTATCTGGAGCTACCACCTGTGTTATATCTGAAGTGAATTGCACTAATATATACAGTCCCGTACACTTTTTTCTACAACATCTAAAATATTGTATTGTGTGTGTTAGTGCTTAAGAACATTTGAAAAATCTTTTGACAAATTAAATTACCTGACTGGTGAGGAACACCAACAACAATTTCCAAAATGTGGGAAAAATTGTGGTGGCCACATGTGTTTCCTTACTATGTGAAAGGAGTATAAATATAAATAGGTGAATAGATATTATGGGTAATTGTCTCCTACTTTTTTTTTTTTAAAAAAAAAGACGTGGCTAGTTCAGGAATTGAATCAATTAAAATGGTTGGATAGGTTTCTACAATGATTTGAAATTAAATCTTGAATATGAAAATTTTCAAATTCGAATTTAAACATGAAACCCATCAAATTGATATTTGTATTAGTATAAATACTAGGCTGAAAAAAAATTAATTGATTTCAATATATTAGAAGCCGCTACAAATAATTAAATCAGCATTATTGTATCGAAGTGAGGTAAAGGAGTCATGAAATGATCAAACATTTGCAGAGTCAATAACAGAACCATCGAGATTTTGATTGCTCTTCCATGGAGCTCTACAAATGACACACGTAAGTGATGCCTTGTTCTCTTTGGTTTTCTTCCACTCGACGAAGCACCGTTCATGAACCACACTCTGACACGTCTCGCAGGCCACAAGTTTCACTTCCTTTCCCGTCTTCATCATCTCCTCCAAACAAATCGGACATCCATTATTGTCATCACTAGCCCCAGTACCATCGTCCACTACCACCTCTGCAACATCATCAACCACTACCACCTCTGCAACATCATCCTCCACTACCACCTTTGCAGCATCATCGTTCTTTCTTCCAAAATTACTAAAGATCCTGTCCATGAACATGTCGCAGATTTCCTTGCTGGCAAAAGCCTCCGGCGACATCGGCAGGTTCAGAATCCAGCGGAGCATGGTAGGGCCCAAAGTCCTGCTGAAGCAGCTAGGGGGATCCTGAAGACACAATAAAAGATGAAGATAATGTGCTGGCAATAGTACCATGGGTCGCCGTTAAGGCGAGAGAATGATGTCCGCTTACAGCTGCAAAAGACGACGTCGGAGAATTGGACCTTGTAAAGGTTGATTTCTCCGAGGGGGTCATGAACGAAGAACGCTGATCTGAATCGAAGAATTAGCTTTAGCTGGTGCTGTAGCAGGTCCATGGATCGATGCTCTCTCTTTTGCTTGTGTGCTCAGAGTCAGAATTACAGAAGCAGTTTTTCGAGTCTACTTAAAAATGTGTTCTAAATGATATCTCTGGACCTTACCCTGATTTAATGTTTGAATTCAAATATTGATATTGATAGATATCAATAATCAAAGGATCTATTTATTTAACGGTTAAAATTTAATCAAATTTATTTATTCAATTTAATTATAGTTTGTAAATTAGCTTACACTGATGAGAGATCAGATTTTAACAATATTTAAATCTATTTTTTTATTTTTATGTTTTATTATAATAATTTTTATAAAATATTAAATCTTAATCTTTAATTCCAATTTTTTTGTAAATTAATCGTTCAAGTTTCATATTAATGTTAATATCATGCAAAGTTGCAAAGAGTCTGATCATGATCTTTTATTGGGTTTTAAATAAATAATATATAATCAATTACAGTTTTTGAAATCAAAACAAAACAGTCTGATTTGACGTATCAAAATAATAATAACAATTTAATTACAATATATAATAATAATATATATCGAAGTCAAAACAGTTTATGGTTCTGATTTGATGTCAATGACATCGACATATTATTGTTTTGGATTTAAGTCAGCATATTGTATGTTTAAGATGTTAGTTTTTAATTAAATCAAGTCGTGTAAAATTTTTATATATTATTTATTTTATAATAAATTTTTATTGTTAATATTACCAACACATTGAAGTTCTTTTATTTTAATCTGAAAGAATAAAGCTTTTTAGGTATGTAAGGTCAAGGATGCAATTTTTTTAATTTAATTTATTGATTTATTAGCAAATAATTTTTAATATATATATATATATATAATATTTGACATGTCTAATTTCAAATTAATAAAATACTAAAATAAAAAAATACATATAAACTAGCAGAAGGTACCTGTGCGTCGCACGGGCAATATCATGGATAATTCTCTTTTTGACATTTTATGGTAAAAAAAATTTTTTTATTTAGAATTTTAAGGTATTTTAAACAAAAGAATATAAAAGGAAAAACTATTTTTAAGGGGAGATATGATGTAATCAATGTTTGCTACAATGACACACACACACCCCATGAACCTTAGATTTATATTAGATTCTGATTTACCAAAATGATTTTCTATACTCTCCACTAAAAGATCACATGAAATTTTAGAATTGTAGCTCTTTGTTTTTTGAATTATATACTTTAGTCTTTGTTCTTTTGAGTCATCATCATCAAGGTATTTAGCATTTAGATACTCATTTCATTATCTTTTTGTGTTCCTTTGTGTTTAATGTGTCATGATAATAATTAAAATAGATTAAAGTGGAGGGTAATGGCTCCATATAACGTTTTCTTTTTTCTTGGTTGAGATCTTATTAATTTTTTTTCATGATCCTATTTTTCATGTAATTGTACTTACACAAATTGTTATATTTTGTATATTTAAATTTTAATTTTTAGAGATACTGAAAGGTGTAAGTAAAAAATTGTCATTTTTTAATATAAACTCTTTGAAATTTTAATAGCTGCAGGTTCTTTATGATAGACAAAGATATCACTTAGTTAGATAGCTCAAATATGATTTAGTGAGACAAGATCTTGTAATTAGAAATTTACTTGTCCTGATTTTGAATTTTCATATATTTTTATTCTTATTTTAGTTTAATTTAATCTTTTCATCATTTAATGTCATTCGCCCCCTAATAAAATTCTTAATAGAAACAAATGAAATTTTTATAAGGGGCATTGAATTTTAGAGACATATTATACTAAATTTCACTTTTTACCCAGGGGAATTGCCTCCCATAATAGCAAATGCAGGCTATGCCCTCCTGGTAATAGATCATTATCAAAGAAAACTAGGTTTAGAAAAAAGTTACGATCTAATAAAAGATGATTGTATATAATTAAAGTGACAGAAAATATTTCATCACATATGAGGAGTGCCATTTTTTTAAATGTTAATTTATTGTCTATTTAAAGGAAAACTAAGTGATTTTACTAGGTAAGAATTTTTTGAAAAAAAGATCAATTTACTATAATAGAAGAAGCTAAGAAATAATGTAAGGGTAGATTTATTTCATGAGATTCATTCTTGAATATATTTAATAATTTTTTTGACCTACATACAAATAGTTTAAGGAAGTGAACTTGAAGCACTACGATATTTTCTAAATTTAGATGGTAAAATTTTTTTTCAAGTTGCTTGAATGGCTTAATCATGAATTCTGTATGATCCAATTGTAGAATTTAAATTTTACTCATGCTATGCATGAGGTAGCAATCCTTCAGGTATCCTATAACATTGTAACAGCTATAGATTATATTTATGTTTTCTGATAAAACATTATGACAAAAGATACTTGCATGGTTTGGCCGAGAAGAACAGAATATAAAAGAATGACATATTCATAACTCACATAAAAAGAAATAAAAACTTCATGGACAACAAAGGATAGCTTAACATGTCGTTTGCAAGCATGCTTAACTATAACCTACAAATTGACCACTTGTTTCTACACCTTCCAAATCCACTCCAGCACCAAACTTGATTAGTTTCATCCATCATGGCTAATACTTCTTTCATACTTTCCCAGTTTCGTCCTTCTATTAGTTCAGTGGGTTAATTCCTCAAATGTCATTATACTTTTTCATATCTATTATACATGCATTCTCCAATTTCTTGAAGCTCAAGTGCTCATCATGAATCTACAAAAATTATGAAAAATAGAAGACATCAATTTTGCTGAAACTACATGAAAAAACAAAACTAAGTTGTCAACAAATGTTTTTCTTATCAACGGTCCTATATTAGCACAAACAGTTCCTTTGAAAGCCAATGCATTGCCAAGTAAAAATTCTCAAAATCTAAGGAATTAGGAAGATTAACTTCCCAGAAGAAATATCCAATGACAAATATAATGTGAACCAAATCAAGAAGTTAGCAACACACTTGCACAAATTCAATATACTGAATCTACATAGATACAAAGATACAGTTGGTATCACAGCGATAACCCGCCCATAGATAACCTATATAGTACCGAAAACAATGCTAAATATGTTAGAAACTTATTCTATTCTATATTAGGCCAGTGCAATGATAATCACATATAGCACTTGTCGGATACAAATCAAGAATCCAAAATAGGCTGGAGTGGAAAACACATACAATCAGACTCGGGGAATCAATATCCAAAATCGATTCCATTCTACAGCTTCAAGTGTCCGCTATTATTTAAAATCTAGAACTTGATAGGACAACATGCTTCAAGAGAAAATTCATTAAAGAGGAAAATAAATGTTTAGTATCCTATGCATTTCTTAAAAAAGGACATTCCTATTCTAAAGAAAGGGCACAGACAATGTGAGGAACTCAAGCATATAATTCTTAGGCTCAATTGGTTTTAAAAATAATACATGTCTATTTCAGAAGCTAACGTCAAGCCTCATATGTGGGCTCAAAAATGTTAAAACTAACTCTAGATCAAGTTTTTTATTTGAATGTGAGTTGATAGTAAGTTCTACAATTTTGGGTCACCTTGTAAGTTTTCTTGTGCACATCGAATTTATTTTCTTGTAAGTTCTACAATGCGTAGTAACATAGGCTTTAAATATAGAATAAATTCTTGTGTTTATTACAATGCGTAGTAACATAGGCTTTAAATATTCTTAAAGCCTACGTTACTACGCATTGTAATAAACACAAGAATTTATTCCACGGCTGATGGGAATGCAAAAGAATCAAAATATAAAAAAGCAATGCACATAATTTATGACATTTGGTTTAAATGAAACATCCTCACTCTTTTTTTTTTCTTTTCTTTTAAATACTGTTAAGTCATGTATCCATCAAGGTTTTCATCCCCCGGCACAATTCATTTCGCATATTCACCGTTTACCACCTTTAGGCATGTACTCACCACAATAGCCTGCACACACACACACACACTTTTTAATAATATCAATATGTATTGGATTCCAATTTGTTGTGGCAGAACCACCAATACCGAATGATGAAAAATGCCTCAGAATTAAAGAATTTTCACAAGGAATAATACCCAAACAGCAGCAACTCATCTTTGTTAGAAATGATGCCCCATAGTGAATTTGGAACCTATAGAAAATGCTTCAACTACTTCCCACAGCACATAGCCATAAAGCAATATTTTCCCTGAGAGGGACTGATTTGTAGTGAAATTCTCCGCCAACTGCAGATAATCTCTACTTATTCAATATTTAGTGACAATATTAATCATTAGATTTGGGTTTCCAGTATCTTAGAAAAAGTAATGCTATATGAATTGCTTGTTTTATGTTGTTCCCTTAACAGGCAAAGTATCCATCCATTCCTAAAACCTGCTAAGTGTCCCTTATAGTATAAACTGCTAGACAATTCTTTCTGTTATAAAATAGACCACTCGCTATTTAGGGTCGCAAAAAATTAAAAAAAAACACAGAGTTACCAAACATTCAATTCAGAAAAAGGGAAGATGCAAAACTGCCTGCGCACATAGAACAACAGAGAGAGCAAAAATATCTGACCAGGCAATGAAAAAAAATAGCAGTAGTCGTCAAAAATTAGCCAAGGATTGCAAGGCATCTGATTTCATAGCAAGATTTCTCAACTCATATAATACATCAGTAAATTGAAGAAAGATCACGGAGAAGATAACATAATTGCAGAGAAAGTTATACCTAAATAGCGACGATAGAAGATGCCTCTCTCCAGAGAAGGGAAGATGAGGAAGACACTATGAGGCTATGAAGGAGGAAGCTCGATCGGTGGGAGTGAAGACAGAGAGAGCGTGCGATGATGATGAAGGACAAGCTTGGCAGTGGGGACAGCAAGGTGAGAGGGCGATGATCTCTTCGGAGGGAAGGAAGGATCTAGAAGGTGAAAAAAGACAACAAAACAATGGGACCCATGTTATTTTCTCTCATCACTAGGGTTATTAATGGAAAAACACTGGTGGTGAATAATGTGATAGTGACAAACCGATGGGCTTAAATATTGCGAGATAATAATAATAGACCAAAAAAAATGACGAGACCCACGAAAAAAATATATTTAGGGAAAAACACTGTACATGAACTACATCACACAGGACCATTTGATGGAAAACACTGTATATGAACAGTGCAACGTGAAAAAGTACACGGCTTTATAAGATATAAGATGAGATTACTGCTAAGATATTGTATTAATTAATTTGATCAACGATAAATCTTATTACTCAGCAAAAGTTTTCTGATTTTCATTTTCTCTTATATCAAAAAAATTCTTAATTATCTCAAAAAAAAAATAAAATGATAGATCAAAGAGATGGATATCTTGCTTATTATTTGGAAGAATTATCGAATATCACAAGACAATAATTTAAATTTATCATACTAATAAAGACAAATATCCAACAAATAAAGGGTCCATTTTATAATGTAAATCAAGGGATTAAATATTTCCAGTATTCAATTTATAAATAATTGAATAATGTTTCGACTCATCCTTAAGAATATCATAACTCAATAATTTAAATTATCAAAAACATTTCTAATACATAAACATCAACATGGATAAATATTTATCTATACAATATTTACAATATAAAATGTAGAAATAATATAATTATCAGGTGTGTGAAACATGTTTTCAAATTTATTATAATAACAAAATAAACTTTGTAATAGAAATTTTGAGATCAACTTGTCTAACAATTTAGGATAAGAATTTCTTTTCAAAAATGGAAAGTTTGAGAAGAAAAAAAATATTTTTTAAAAAATTTTTATAAAAAAAAGTTTTTTTAAAAGGAATCCACATAGCATGAGATATTTGTCAAGAGCACATAGCTTATGTGGGTAAACCATTAATCCAGTGTGGCTCCTAGACCATAAGGAGTGGATATGGATACACAATCCACAAAGTAAATAACAAATATGACGTAGCTTAAAATTAAGGGTATGTTTGAGAGTATGTGATAAAATGAAAAGAAACGATTATTAATGGAATGAAATGTGGTGGGGTGGGACGGAGTGGAACATTTCATTGTCTAGAAATTTCATTAAAAGAATAAATAATTTATTTAATTATTATTTAAGAATAATTATAAAATTCATAGATTTGAATAAGATATAATTATATTTTAAATTTTAAGGTAAGAGGGAGTGAAAGAGCAAGAGGGAGTGAGAAAGATAAGAATAATTTTATAAAATTGTTATTTATATCATATATTTCATTCTTGGGAGGTCAAGAAAAATAAATTTAGGATGGCAAATGATGGCTTGAAAGGCCACCTCAAAACCATTTCATCTTTTTTTAAAATTTTCTTTTAAATAATGGCATAAGGTTTCTAGCCATCTCATTCCATTCCATTCTATCTTACAAAAAATTCTTAAACATTACCTAAGAATATGAGGCATGGTTCCAAAGCCAAAAATAACAACTTGTTTAACAATTCATAATAAGAATTTCTTTCTAAAAATATAAATTTAGAGACAAAAAAAATATTTTTTAAAAAATAAGTTTCTTTAAAGCAATTCACATAGCATGAGATATTTGTTAAGAGCACATAGCTTATATAGGTAAATCATTAATTTAGTGTGGCTTGTAAACCATGAAGAATAGATATGGATGCACAGCTTACAAGACAAGTAATAAATCTAGTGTAGCTTAAAACTAAGAATATCAGACATAGCCCGAAAGTTAAGAATAAGATGTATAACTCAAAGGCTACTAGAGGACGAAAACAAAATAGGTGTCACTAGCAGGCAAGGTACGTAAAACCAGACCGGTCATTAAACCGGTCATGATATTGGGTCACGGGTTAGTGGTTCAATCAGGGTTGAACCAGTGGCAAACCGGTCATGATTAAAATAATACAATTTAAATAAAAAGACATTAATTATAAAAACATTCAACCAAATCCAACCATTCAAAAGTCTAACAATAATAAAATACTATATTTTTGGACTTAGCATGCTCTATCTTTAATTTTTCATCTTTTGACTTCAATTTTACTTTTTTTTGTTATTTTTTTCTGAACTCAGAGCTCTGAAAAATTAAAAATAAAAAAAAATAAAAAACGACGTCGTTTTGGGGTAAAAGTCTGAAAAAATATTAACCCGGCTAACCCAGTCAATCCACCGGGTTATCCGGGTTATACCGGGTTGAACCCGGGTTGACCGGGTTACACCGGTTCACTCCCTCACCGGGTTAAGAGCAAACCCAGACCGGACAGGGGACCGGTTCACGGTTTTCGAGTTGACCCGACCGGTCCGGTTCGATTTTCAATACCATGCTAGCAGGAACAAATGGGGACTGTGAGAAGAACTCTCTGACTCGAGAACCGCGACACTGTAATCCTTGAATAATCCACAAATGTGCTGCCATATTCACTCTCAAATTTGAAATAAGAAAGTTCACCAAAATATTTAGAAAAAAAAAAAAAGTACAGTAAGATCCATTCAAGACATTACCACCTGCTCTTGTTGATATTCTCCTAACCTCCACGGTGCTGAGAGAATAAAATTTGGAAGAATGGGCAATTTGGAAGAATGGGCATTGAAGACAGAAAACGAGCCTAAATTCCAAGAATTTGTTATTCTCATGTGGAAAAAAAATCCAATAATAAAAAATTTTGAGATTCAATTATGAGTGTAAAAGATGTTATGAACCCGACAACAATTATTTTATAAAATAATTACTTTAGTTAATTGTGCAAAGTCCACCTAATTTAAGGTTGTAATTTTATTTGTTGATATTTTATTATTTTTTGAAGAAAAATTAATTAAAAGATAACTTACTATTTTACAAATAAAATAATTTTTTAAAATTTGGATATGCATGTTTTAAATTACAAAAAAGTAATTTAATTTTAATTATTTTTTTAATTTTTAAAATTAAAAAAATAAAAATATATTTTATTATAAAAATAGTTTAATTTTTTTAAGTATTTTTGCAAATTTAACCATGATACCTGTGACATATGATCGCACTTGGCAAAAAAATATAACAAGAAAAAAAATTCACATCTACTGGACAAGAATAGTAAAGAATAACTCACCTTTGACTAAGGTGATTGACTTGGTGAATGCTTTAAAAATCGGACAGATGTTTTTTTGACTAGAGAAAGGAAATTCATTCCGAAATAATGAGAGTCAACACAGTACGAAGCAACAAAATACCAAGTCATAAGCCAACACAGTAGAGACGTAAAAAGAAACAGCAGAAGATAAGAAGATTAGACAATGCCTTCTCTATCTTGAGAAATCACACAATCAGCACCATTGAAATCATGCTCTAGAATGGACGTCAGAGGGAGTGAAGGCCGAAAGACCCACCCAGAAGGTTCCATACCCTTTAGAGATGAGGCCGCTAGCTAATCAACAACAGAGTTTCCTTCCCTTTTGATAAACAAGAAAGAAAAGGAGGAGTGAGAATGAATAGTGGGAAAAAGATCTTCAAGTGGGCTGTGAAAAGACCAGTGACAATGCAAGACATGAAGAGATGATACCACATAATAAAGCTTTTCAAAAACAACATCAGTAAAATTGCCATCAGCAGCAATAGAAATAGCTTTCTGAAGAGCTAGAAATTCAGCCATAAAAACTGGAAGTAGCATTGACAACCTCCCCTTTAATGAAATTTCGTTGATGATCACGGCATAGCACACCAATTGAAGCTTTCCTTGAAGCGGCTGAGAAAGCACCGTCACAATTAAACTTAAGTTTGCCTTGGCTGGCTGTGTCCATTTAATAGGACCAGCAATAGTACTCGAATTGGCCTTTGAATTATAATGAACATTCCAAAATTCTGCAACAAAAGTTTCTGTTATAACCCAAAGTGGGTTAAGTTTAGCACATGAGAAAACCTTTGTAGACCTAGTTTTTCAAATGTTCTAACAAAGGCAAGCTACATAGGACTTATCATGAGCATCTAAAGGCCTATGGTTTGAAATGTAGAAAGAGCACAAATTCTCAAATGAAGTAATGTTCAATGGATCAATAGGATAAGTTTTTAGATCCCATAGATGTTTCCAAATGGATTGAGATAAGGAATCCGACGAGCAAGCAGTAAGAACATTAACAGGATGTGATCTCGCATAATGCAACCTGTAGCCCATCTTGGATATGTAAACTCCATTTTTTGCCCCACTCCAAACAGCTTTGTCAGAGGTGATACGCCGTGGGATCTGCATATGATATATACAGGGTAAGGTTTTAAGGGTCATGGTATGAGATGCAGCAGAAATATCCCAAGAGCCATTACAGATTAAGTCAGCAACTTTAAACAACATCTTCTCTCTTTGAAGCTTTGAAATCAATCATGCCAGAAGTCCAGTGGTCCTTCCACACAAGAATGTTCTGACCAGACCCCATGCATAGAAAAATGTCTTTCAATGGTATGTATCATCCTACTAGCAGACTACTTCAAGCCCATAAAGCATGTTGCCAGAAATTATGGGTATAGGATTCATTGATTATTCAATAATACCTCGTAAAGTTATATCACAGCAACTGTACAAGTAAATCACGTAAATCATGTAACTATGCTATCTGCCATATTCTACTAGATAGTATATTGGCTATATCTAAATATATCTTTTAATATATACACAACAAGAATATCTAAACTACTTGGACCTCTTCAACACTCCCCCTCAAATTAGTGCATGGATATCTATCATGCCCAACTTGCCAATAGCATTCTTGAATGCGTCAGACGATACAGCCTTTATGAGAACATTTGCTAGTTGATACTGAGACTGCACAAAGGAAAATGTAATTATGTTTCGATCAAGCTTTTCTCAAATAAAATGTCAGTCGACTTCCATGTGCTTGGTATGATCATGTTGCATTGGATTATGGGCAATTTTAATTGCAGA